TGGCACAGTGGATAGAGCACCAGTCCTGCATTCAGGAAGACCTGAGTTCAAATCTGACCTCAGACATTTGACACTTCCTACATGTGTGACCCTGGGCAAGTCACTTCACCCCATTGCCTCACCAAAAAAAAATCTAATAACATGAAATTTAATTGCAGAAAATTAATTAAATTTAATTAATTTAATATAAAGCCTTACACTTGGTTTTAAGAAGTCAGTTTTACAAGTATAAAATAAAGGGAAGCATGGTTATGTGGTGATTTGTTTACTAAAAGATTCAGGGGGTTTCATGGACTGCAAGTTCAATATGAGGCAGAAGTATGATATCCCAACCCAAAAAATGCAAATGGAATCTTGGTCTGCATTCAGAGAGGCCTAGCAAGAATAACTAGGTAATAAGTCATCCACACAAGGACTTTTCTGTCCCTCTCCAGCTAATAGTGCCTTTCCCAGGAAATTTTTTTTTTAATTTCTGTATAATTTATATATGTAAAATTAATATATTTTATACACACATAGACACAAAGACACTCTCACAAACACACACAATATATGCATATATGTATATGTATATACACATATGTGTATTTTGTCTTCCATGATAGAATATATGCTCCTCAGGAAGGGATTAGCTGGTTTTTTGGTATCCCTAGTGCCTAGCACAGTGTCTGGTACATAGTAGGTGTGTAATAAATGCTTGTTGCTCAGTTGCTTGATATTTAGGCACATGAGGGCCTTTCAGTATTCATCAAATATATCACAGACATGTCTGTCTCACTTTGCTTATGTTTGGACTTGGCAAGGAAAATACTATAACTGGGTATAGAATTTGGCTATGGTGTTTGGTGGTATTTGCTGTACCATGGTGGTAGAGGGACACCTAAAAATCTTTAGGTCACACATCTAATACTCAACAGAGTCTCTCTTTTCCTCCACTGTCCACCTCAAGCCACCCTCTCCTCTCAATCATAGTCTCAAATATATTGCTCTGATTCCCAAGATCCCCGTTCTACCACATTCACCTGGCTTGCTCTATACTCTCTTGCAAACAGACACCTGGATTCTATCTTATTGCAATCCCTGACTCTCTTATGCTGCTGTGTGCACAGAACCCAGGCCATCCCCTCAAGGCAATCATTGACATCCCAGCCTTGAGGAACTTCCTCAAACCAGCTCCCCTGCCCCTCCCCTGAAGCAATTACTTCCCCTAGCAGTTCCTGCACAGGGCTGGAAGTGTGGAGGAAATCTTCCTATTCCTTGAATTACGCATCAAATGTTGTTCCTTCCCAGCAAATTTGTGCTGGGTCACGAGAGCTCAGCTGCGTGGAGCTGTCCCTTGCAAAGTGCTGATCTGGCTTGGGGTTCTTATCCTCTGAATTGCTCTTGTCCAGCTTACTGAAAATATCCACCTCCTATGGAGCCCTCCATGTCCTCCTAGGGAAGGCAGTCAGGGCCTCTCTACAGGTACAGGTGTGTCTGGTAGAAGTCCTCAACCGAGGTGGGAGGAAGAGAATGACAGATGTACTAATCTCTCTGTACATTATACTGAGTCCCCTCTACTACATCAAATAATACCAACATCCCTGCTTTAAAATCAGGATCTTCCTTATATTCCCATCCTGTCCCGTTCCACACTGGGTAGATCACTCTTTTTTGTGAGGCAATTGGGGTAAAGTGACTTGCCTAGGGTCACACATCTGAGGCCGGATTTGAACTCAGATCCTCCTGACTCCAGGGCCTGAGTATATCACTCTTAACTGTTACTGCAGGAATTTGCATTGTGTATATACTAGCTTGAGATATGAATCATTAAAAAAGTGACAAAATTTTCAGTTCTGGGGTCATCCAAACTAGGAAGGTGATAGTGTATTCAGTTGCTGAATGAAATGAAATGTGATACCATATGGAAAGCCCTTTCTACTACTCTCCTTATTGAATTGGGGTGAAAGCTCTTCAATATATATGATCTAAAGCCTGGAAGGGCCCAGTGTGCTGAGAGGGGTATGTGTGTGATTTTGCTAGACCCAGTCACAGGGTTCCCACTAGGAGGCCTTTAGTATTGATTGCCTTCCCACTGCTACCTGTGCTGCCTTAATGCTGAACAGCCCAGATTCCCTTTTCCAGATGTTGTTCCCATTTCAGCAGGGCTGGTGTCTGCTGCATCTCTGTGATTTTTTGCCATGGGTATGCATAGAGACACAGTGTGAGGCATTTGAAAAGGTAAACTCCTGAGGGTGGAACATGATGTGTCATTCTTGGCAACCTCTGCTATTGACAAGAAGCCCCAGTCCTGCTACAAAGGTGCAGAATAACAATGGGGATACTCTGTATATACTTGTATGTTGACTCTGTGTGTACTCTGGCCTTTGGGTATCCATAGTGATAGCAGTAACTTAACCCCTAACTGAAAAAAGTTTTATTGATGCCTTTAAGAAAACCAACTGAACCCCTTCTTAATGTAGAGGATGTCCCCAGTAGAATGCTTATGATGCAACAAAATTAGGAGGGAACTCCTGGCTAAAGACCTTCAGCAAATCCTTGGATTTTGGTGAGAATCCCTTCTCTCTGTTCCTAAAGGAAGTCTGTCTGGGTGAAACAAAAATCTTGGGTGTCTCCTGAGCATGCTTAGAGAGCTTTTCGATGGGGAAGCCTACCTTGGCTGGAGCTCCATATATCACTTGTTTTATATAGCCTGAACCACAGTAGCCCAATACCACCTCAGCTACAACCATGCCTGTAACTCTCAAAGTCATGCATCCATCCCTTAGAACCCTCTGCCTGCCAAATCAGGGGGAGCCTTTCCTACTTCCCAGTCTCCTTCCTAGAAGATGGCCTTCTTAAATACACCCTCTTAGATAGGGCCTAGTGTAGAAAGGTCCTCTTCCATTTCTGCAAAAATGGACAAAAACAGATACTTTCCAAGTATCCTAACAAAAATCTACCTAATAATGAAACACAGAGATCAACACTTCTCATTAAAAGTGCATATTAAACAAGTTTAAACCTGACAGAAATACTTGTGGAACACATGTAACACTTCATGTAGCAATAGTAAAAGTAAGTTAAAAAATTAGATACTCTCCCCTGGATGTGTCCAGTGTATCTGAAAGTGGTCAGTCTCTGGGGGAAGCCTATAAAATAGCAAAGATCCAAGAGTGAAGTCCAAATGCAATCCATAGGTAATGTAACACATGAATTCCACCAACAATGTGTGTACAGAGAACCACAGCATGCTCATCGTCTGGGTTTTGTTTATGGAAATAGAGGGGATTTCTGATGGCAATTCCACATCAGGTCATTGTTCTTAAGGAGCCCAGATTTAGCAATCAGCACAGACTGTAGAAGGAAATGGTAGAAACTGAGCAACACCACTGCAGGTTGTAAAACATTAGTACTTAATGAACACTTAGCAAGACATGAACTAGTGGCTGGAATTATCCATCAGAAGTTGAATATCTTTCAAAAGTGACCAGATGACAGATATTCATATTACAAATGGAGACCTCAGGATATCCTAGAGAATTCAAAAATAAATTGTACTGGAACTGGAATGTTGTCCTGGAACAAAACTATCGTCCCCATCTCCTAGTCATAACAAAGATCCATAAAAAATCAAGAACAATATTTTTAATAGCATATCAAGTGTTCCTAATCTCTAAGCTGCATGGATGAAAAGCTTGCAACATGTAGAGACCTAGGGGAAGAACTGAAAACCATGTGAGAACAGTCTGAGAAACATGTGATCCCCACAGTCCTGTTTCCTCCTAGAATTGTCCTAAAGATGTATTCACGGAGCCTGCAGCAGATGAGTTAACATCCCAATACTTTTATTGAGTTACAAATGACAGTGATTCTGTGTAGTGATCTGAAAAACATTAAACAGAAAAGAATCAAAAAGACTATCAGAGATGAATAATAATGATAATAATAAACACTTCTATAGTGCTTCATGGTTTGAAAAGCACTTTGCAGACATCTCATTTGAACCTTACAACCACCCCGTAATTTACTTAGCATAGGTATTATTATCACCCCCATTTTATAGATATGAAAATTGAGGTTTAGATAGTTTAAGTGACTTGCCTCTGGTCACACAATGAATAAGGCACAACTTCAGTCTAGGTCTTGTCTAGGTCTTGTGACTCCAATTCCAGTTGTCTGTCCAACTATGCCAATTCAGGAATGGCAGGGCGGCTGGTGTTGGAGAGGATAAAACCCCAAATCTGAAATAGTTTTAGAAAGAAATTTATTAAGTCCCTGGGCAGAGGAGACTGAGCCAGAAAGGAGGGTGTGGCTCCCTCTTGTCCGGGTTCTGGAAAGTTTATATTATATAGGATTTAGACTAGGGTACCCACACATAAACAATGCGAGGCAGACGTGCTGCATCCCTGGGTGCCCCCCCCCCAGCCTGATCTTTGTCTCCTCCTGCCCGGAGAAAGGAGGCTGAGACCCGCCCCTTCCCCTTTTCTCCCTCTGCTCTGGGGGTTGTGAGGAATCCAAGTCCCATTCAAGGGCTGCTGGTTTGCAGAAGCTGCTGCAGCTACTGTGCTCTTTCCTTTTGTGGAGCCCAGGACAGCCCTCCCTCAACCCCACCTCCCCATCCTTGCCCTCCCTCTTTCAGTTTTGACCCTCCACAACCCCAAGCTGAGTTCAGCTGCTCTCCCTCAGCCTCAGCCCTGGCAGGCTACCTTGAGGAACCTGGGACCCTGGTCCAGGTGGAGGATACACTGCGGGCCCTCCCCCAACCAGTTTGGGTGATGGGGGCTGAGAGAAACGACTAGAGGATTCTGCACTGCTTTGAGCCTGATGTCACAGAGCCCCCTCCCCTCCTTTCTCCCTTCCCCCTCTGCTCTGGCAGTAGCCCCGCCTTGCAGTGATGTCACAATGCCCGCCCCCTCCCACCCTCTATTAAGGTAAGTCCTCTTTGTTTCTCGAAGAGGATGTGACTGGAGTAAGCACCTGGAGGTCTGCCTGCCCCTTACCCACTTACCTTCCCTCTCCCTTCCACACCCCACCCTTCCCTTACCCACATCTTCCAGATTGACCGACTCTGAGGATCCTGCTAATGCCTAAGTGGCTGTAAGTGAGGTAAGTGCCCCCTCCCCTGCTCCTGCCTCAGCCCCTTCCTTTCTTCTCCTTATCTTCTCTTCCCCTCTCTCCTCCCCCTTCCACTTTTTCATGAAGCCCACCGCTTTCTCCCGGATTGGCTTTGCTTAGTGCTCAGGAGGATGTGTGTAAGGGTGAGTGGAAGGTCCTGGGAGTATTGCTACCTTTGTTTATATCTGTGTACATATGTGTATGTAGGTGGGATCATCTGTGTGCGTGTGCGTGTGCGTGTGCGTGTGCGTGTGCGTGTGCGTGTGCGTGTGCGTGTGCGTGTGCGTGTGCGTGTGCGCGTGCGCGTGCGCGTGCGCGTGCGTGTGCGCGTGCAGCGGTGACCCTGTATGTGCCTGCTCCTCCAGGGCTGCTCCTACCTGAGGCTTCCTACCTGCCCAAGCCTTTGTCTGGAGGGGCTGGGTGCTTAGAGGGTCGTGGGGTTAGATGGGGTGCGGTGAAGGCCAGCAGGGAGAAGCATTTGGGGACACTCCCTCCCTTCCCTCCTCAGGTGGAGGTTTCTATCCTTTCTTCCTCCCCTCCTCCCATCCTTCGCTTGGCCTCAGGGCTGGGAAGAGAGAAAACAGTCTAGGAACTCCCCCTCCGCTTCTCTAGATCATCTCTTTTGTTTGGTAGCCTTTAATTTAATGGCATATTTATTTTTTATTCTGGCTTCAACCAGCACCTGCTGAAAAGGTTGTTTCCATGTACCTTGTTGTGGAACGGAAAAAGGGGACTGTCCTTGAACCTGAGGATCTCTGTGGTTTACAGACTGAAAGAAGAGAGTTGTTTTAATGTGCACTTCTCTCATTATGAGAGATTTGGAGCATTTTGTCATAGGGCTATTGATAGCTTGGATTTCTTCCTTTGAAAACTTCCTGTTCATATCCTTTGACCTATTGAGAATGTCTGTTAATCTTGGAAACTGGAATCAGTTCCTTTTATATCTTGCATATGTAACAGTCCTTAGAGAACTTTGCTACAAAGATGTTTTTCCTCGCTTAACTGTTACCCTTCTCATTTTCACATTTGATCTGTTTGTGCAAAAACATTTCAACTTTATAGAAGCCAAATTATCCATTTTATTTTCTGTGATTCTCTCTGTTGCTTGTTCTGTCATAACCTCTTCCCCTATCCATAGATGTGAAAAGTAATTTCCTCCTTGCTCCTAATTTGCTATTGATTCCCCTTTTTACAACTAATTTATGTATCCATTTGTAGTTTAATTGGATAGGTGGTGTGAGGTGTTGATGTTCTATCAAATTTCTGGGAAACTGCTTTTCAAATAGTGTGTCCTCCCCTGCCCCACCCCCAACTGCAGTCTTTGGATTTATTAAACACTTATTGTATTTGTTTGCTTCTGTACATTGCATACCTAATCTTTTCCATTGATCAACCTTTCAATTTTTAACAAGTTAAAATTGTTTTCTGGATAATGAGATGTCCCACTGGGCCTGAAGTCAGGAAGACTTATCTTCCTGGGTTCAAATCTGGCCTCAGATAGTTACTAAGTGTGTGACCTTCAGCAAGTCACTTAACCCTGTTTGCCTCAGTTCCTCATCTGTCAGATGAGCTGCAGAAAGAAATGGCAGGGGCAGCTAGGTGGCGCAGTGGCCCTGAAATCAGGAGGACCTGAGTTCAAATATGGATTCAGAACATTCGACACTTACTAGCTATGTGACCCTGGGCAAGCCACTTAACCATAATTGCCTAAAAAATAATAATAATAATAATAAAAATAAAAGAAATAGCAAACCACTCCAGTATCTTTGCCAGGAAAATCCCAATTGGATTCAGGAAAAGTCAGACAGGACTAAACAGCAACAAAAATTGTTTTCATAATCATTGATTTGTAGTATAGTTTGAAATCTGCTACTGATAATCACTAACCCAAACCCTTTTCCTTCTTCCTTCCTCCCCTTCCATTATTGCCCTTAAGGTACTTGACCTCTTTTTAAAATTTTTTATTGATGTTTTCTGTTCCTTACATCACCAGGGTATCCTATGTATCCCTCCCATCCTTGAGAACTATGCCATGTGACAAATAGTATTTTTTGTTTTACGGAGGAAAAGAAAAGTGAACACAACTGATTGATGCATTTGGGAAAAGGTGTGCAATATGTAACACCTGCAGCCCTCTTATCTCCTAGATAGGGTAGGGTGAGGGTGTCTTCTCCTTCTTCCTTTTCAGTCCCACTTGATCTTTAACATTTTATTACAGGTACTTTTAATTTTTTGGTGTGTCATTCTTTCTACTTAAATTGTTGTAGTTCATGTATATATACTGTTTTCTTGGCTCTGCTTAATTCACTTTGCATCAGTTCACAAAGATCTTTCCCTACCTCTCAGCACTCATCACACATATCATTTTTTACAGCATAGTAGTAACATGACATTCATGTTTCATGCCTTGTTTAGCCATTCCCCAGTTGAGGAACTTCTACTTTGTTTCCAATTCATAGCTGTCACAAAAAGTGCTATTATAAAAATTTGGGAGTATGTGGGGACTTTTTTCTTATTGATAGCTTCCTTGGGTGTAATGGAGTCTTTGTTTTAAAGACTTTGGATATTTTTGTTACTTTCTTTGCATAATTCCAAATTACATTCCAAAATGGATGTGTCATTTTACAGCACTACCAACATTGCATTAGTGTGTGTATATTCCCACAACTTGTTTAGGTATCAAAGCCATATTTGTGCCATAAAAGGAATTTGATAGGATTCCTTCTTTACTTGTTTTTTCAAATAGTTTTCATAGGTTCCCAAAGTGAGTAATACCACCCCCTGGGGCGCACTGGAAGAAGGAGAGAAGAGAAGATAAGAAAATTTTGAAAAATTGTTCGTACATGTTTCATCTGTTGTGTAACAGAGTTAAAGTCATAGTGATTACATTATTTTCCAAATAAACACACAAAATGCAAGTTATAACTGATCAGTAGTCAAGTCCACTGACAGGTCTTAACAAGCAAGTGTTGGCAGGGGAGTGTATAGTGCATTGTCAGGAAGTCCAGCATGCATCAGCATGAATATGTGAGTGTAATGATTTGTTTACAATACAGTACTGTATGGTTACATGACACAGTATTGCATCATCAAAATTTCAGTACAGAAAAAACCCACAAATTTACAGTAAATTATTAAATTTAAGATGCATCATTTTTTAAAAATATATTTTATATTTTTTGAAATGACACAAATTTTAAAAAAATGTTAAAGAGTTAAATAAAGTAGATTTCCAAGGGGGGCGCTGAGTAGAATTTTTTTTGAATAGGGAGTAGTAGGCCAAATAAGTTTGGGAACCTCTGGTCTATATAGTATTGGAATGAAATGTTTTTTAAGTGTTTAGTAGAATTCACTTTCAAATCCAAGTGGTCCTGGGGATTTTTTTTTAGGGAACTCATTTATGCCTTGTTCAATTTCTTCTTTTAAGATAGGGTTATTTAAGAATTCTATTTCCTCTTCTATTAACATGGGCAGTTTATATTTTTGCAAGTACTCTTCCATTTCATGTAGATTGTCAGTTTAGCTGGCATATGATTGGGCAAAATAACTCTTAATCATTGCTTTACATTTCATCTTCATTGATTATGCATTCACCTTTTCATTTTTGAGACTGGTAATTTTGTTTTCTTTCTTTTTGTTGATCAAGTTAACCAATTGTTTACCTATTTTGTTACTATTTCATAAAGCCAGCACCTAGTTTTATTTATTAGTTTATTTTTTTTTATTTTCTTAATCTCACATTTGATTTTGGGATTTCCATTTTGATGTTTAATTGGAAATTTTTCATTTGTTCTATTTCTATTTTTTTTAAATTTCATGCCCAATTCCTTGATCTGCTCTTTATCTATTTTATTGATGTAAGCATTTAGGTATAGAAATTTCCCCTAAGTACTGCTTTGGCAGCATCCCACACATTTTGGTATGTTGCCTCACTGTTAAAATTCTCTTTAATGAAATTATTATTGATTCTATGATTTGTTCTTTGACCCACTCATTCTTTAGGATTAGATTACTTAGTTTCCAATTAATTTTTAATTTCTCCATGACCCTTTTATTAAATTGTAATTTTTATTGCATCATGATCTGAAAAGGATGCATTTAACATATCTGCATTTGGTTGTGAGGTTTTTGTGCCCTAATACATGCTAAGTTTTTGTGTAGGTGCCACATCCCCCTAGGAGAAAGATATATTCCTTTCTATCCCATTCAGTTTTCTCCAGAGGTCTATTATGTCTTAACTTTTCTAAAATTCTAATCACCTCCTTATGTTCTTTCTTGTTTATTTTGTGATTAGATTTATCTAGTTCTGAGAAGGGAAAGTTGAGGTCCCCCACTGGAATAGTTTTACTGTCAATTTCCTCCTGTAACTCATTTAACTTCTCTTTTCAAAATATAGATGCTGTAATGTTTGGTGCATATGTGTTTAGTATTGATATTGCTTCATTATCTATGGTACCTTTTAGGAAGATGTAATTTCCTTCTTTGTCTCTTTTAATTAGATCGATTTTTACTTTTGCTTTGTCTGAGATCATGATTGGTACCCCTGCTTTTTTTTTTTTTTTACTTCAGCTGAAGCATAATATATTTTGCTCTAACCTTTTACCTTTATTCTGTGTGTATCTCTGCTTCAAATATGTTTCTTGTAAACAGCATATTGCAGGATTCTGGTTTTTAATTCAATCTGCTGTTTCCGTTTTATGGGTGAGTTCATCACATTCACATTCACAGTTATGATTACTAACTGTGTATTTCTCTCCAACCTCTTTTTCCTCTGTTTATACTTTTCTCTAACTCTGCTTTCACTCTGTTCTTCCTCACCAGTGTTTTGCTGTGTCTACCCCCTCCCTTCTATTAGCCCCCTCTCACATTTTCTTGTCCCCCTCCCCTTCTATTTCCCTATAGGATAAAATAGATTTCTATACTCAACTGAATGTGTATGTTATTTCCTCTTTGAGCCAAATCCGATGAAAGTAAGGTTCAAGCAATGCTCACCCCTCTCTCTTCTTTCCCTCCATTGTAATAGGTCTTTTGTACCTTTTAATGTGATATAATTTATGCCGTTCTTCTTCCCCCTTCCTTCTTCTCCCAGTGCAATCCTCCTTCTCACCCCCTTAATTTTATTTATATCATCAACCCATCAAAGCCAATTTGTACCCACAATCCTCTTTCTGTGCGTACTGCTTCAAACTTCCCTAATACAGATATAGTTAAGAGTTACAAGTATCATCTTCCCATTTAGGGATGTAAACAGTTTAACCTTATTGAATAACTTATGTTTTTGCTTTCCTGTTTACCTTTTTAAGCTTCTCTTGAGTCTTATGTTTGAAAATTGAATTATCTGTTTAGCCCTGGTCTTTTCAAGACAAATGTTTGAATGTCCCCTTTTTCATGGAATGTCCATTTTTACCCCAGAAAGATTATGTTTAGTTTTGCTGGGTAATTGATTCTTGGTTGTAATCCAAGTTTCTTTTCCTTCCAGAATATCATATTCCAAGCCCTCTGATCCTTTAATGTAGAAGTTGCCAAATCCTTTATAATCCTGACTATGGCTCCTTGATATCTGAATTGTTTCTTTTTGGCTGCTTGCAGTATTTTTCTCCTTGACCTGAGAGTTCTGGGATTTAAATATAATATTCTTAAGAGTTTTCATTTTGGGATCTTTCAGGAGGTGATTGGTGGATTCTTTCATTGTCTGTTTTACTCTCTGGTTCCAGGATATTGAGGCAGTTTTCCTTGATAATTTCTTAAAAGATGTTGTCCAGGCTCTGTTTTTGATTATAGCTTTCAGGTAGTCCAATAATTCTGAAATTATCTCTCCTAGCTCTATTTTCCAGATCAGCTGTTTTTCCAATGAGGCATTTTATTTACATTTTCTTCTATTTTTTCACTCTTGATTTTGTTTGATTTATTCTTGCTGTCTCAGAGTCACTAAATTAGTGTTCACTTGCTCAATTCTAATTTTTAAGGAATTATTTTCTTCAATTAGCTTTTGTATTTCCTTTTCCATTTGATGAATTCTACTTTTTAAGGAGTTGTTTTCTTCAATGAATTTTGGTGCATCTTTTCCCCTTTTTTGTGCTTCCTTTACCAAGCTGTTGACACTTTTCTCATGATTCTCTTATATACCTCTCATTTCTTCTCCCAATTTTTCTTCTGCCTCTCTTATATGATTTTTAAAATCCTTTTTGAGCCCTTCCAGGATGTTTTTGGGGCCCTCAGACCAATTCATATTTCTCTTTGAGGCTTTGCATGTAGAAGTTTGGGCATTTTTGTTCTCTTCTGAGTTTGTGTTTTCATCTTCCTATCACCACAGTAGCTTTCTGTGGTTTGTTTGTTTTTTGCTATGTTGTGACTTTTAAAGT